CCGATCGTCACTGCGATTAACTATACTTCCCTTGTTAGAAAGTCAGGGAAGTAAGCCGGATCACCCGGACTTCTCGTTTTTTGACAAACAAACGAAAGATGTAACAGCACACTTTTTATATGAACTAAACGAAAAAAACACAAGAAATTAGAGAGCCAAACATACCAATGCCACCACCAGCGTGTGGAGGACAACCATACTTGAACGAGTCGATGTAAGCTTGTATCTTTTCCAATTCGATCTTGTGATGCTTTGCTCGTTCCACCAAGAACTCCGCATCATGGATTCGTTGAGCTCCAGACAGAATCTCCTCGCCTGGTATTGGAAAAATTCAGGTAAACTGAAGGGTGGGGGTTTGCCCGAATGATATACTGTATAACCACCTCTCATAAACATATCGTAGCTGTTCGAGTATTTGGGGTCGTGTGGATCGGGCATTGTGTAGAACGGACGGACCGCGAGTGGGAACTTGTCAAGTATGTAGAAGTCGGTGTTGTACTTTTGCTGAAATGATGAACGATTCAACCTTCTACTTCATGCTTACAAAAAGACCCAGTTGAAAGAAAACCTAACTGTCTCACCTTCACAAGACGTCCTAGTTGTTTCTCCACAGGTGTGCTCATATCCTCTTCATCTCCAATCTCAACACCATCCTCTCTTAGCATTTTCAAGGCCTCGGGCCATCTAAAAATTGTTTGAAGATTATCTAGTCATTGCGTCCACAGAGGTAAAATGCAAACTAACTTGAGAACAAGCGCTGGCTCACAGAACTGGAAAGGCTCCGCCGGATATTGCCGTCCTACCGCAGCAATCGCATCAGCATAGTCACGCTGCAGTCCTTTGAATACATTGATCAGAACGGCTCCTATGGTCTCCAACACCTCAAAACGATGAAAACTGGTCTCACAAAAACAAGGGAACTGACAAATCAGGCATCGGTTACCTCATGGTAATGGAAGTTGAACGCCATTTCCAAATCCAGACCTACAAATTCGGTCATGTGTCGGTGAGTGTTAGAGTCTTCCGCACGGAACACAGCACCAATGGTGAAAACCTGAAGTAAAGATTTTACCGAAGAAGTTTGCTTTTTGAAAATTGAGGATCAAAAGTAAGACGGCGCAGTAACTTTACGAGTAAGGCTACCCAGAACCAACCTTTTCAAAATCTCCGGCAATCGCCATTTGCTTGTAAAGCTGAGGAGACTGCGCGAG